GTGTGTTATCTCATTAATTCTTTCTCCTGCTGTTGAGTTCAGGATTCAGCCCAAAATGGCTCAACCTGGCATCTCTCTGATCTCTTCTGGGAAACCACTAAGGTGGAAGGGCTTTTGTTACCCAGCCTAGATGTAGAATTTCTAGTGACTCAGTCAGACCTGCACCTGCACCTGAGCAGAGTTTCTCCAGGAAAACTCACAGTGCCCTATAGTGCCCCATCATGCCTTGAATAGCCAATCTCCCACCTCATCTGCCATCTGGGTATTTACTTCCCAGTCACACTCCTCTTTGCTTCCTCCCACTCCTTCCCCTCAGCAACCAACAGCCTGAATTTGAGGTCTCTGTGGGAAAGTTTTGGGACTCTGTCAGCGAACTTCTGAGTCTCACATTTGGCAAAAAATTAGTTTCTTTAGTTGCTTCTCTGGAAGAAGGTGTCCCCAATCTTTCTATTTTATCGTGTTTTGAGGGAAGCCCACATTTTCTTTGCATAGAAGAACTGGAATGCAGGCCAGAGGTGCAAGAGCAGGCAGTGAGAGGATTCACCAGAGACAGAGTGAGGAGCAGAACAGGCAGATGTACTGAAATACACTGCTGAGGGGAGCAGCGGGCAACACAGGAGGGGTCTGCTGTACCATATGTAGGTCAACTCCCTGGCAGGGGATCAAACTCAGGCTGTCTTTGAAATGGTAGCACCTAGACTTAACCCCTAAGCCACCAGGGAAGCTCCAGAAGCCCACTTTCAACCTTGTCTCTTTGCACCTAATGTTGAGTGTCTTGCGTAAAATTTGCAGTTGAGTCATGTTTTTAATTCACTCTGCCAATCTTTGCTTTTTTAGTGGTGAATTTAATCCATTTACACACAAAGTGATTATTGATAAAGGTTTTAATTTATTTCTGCGACTTTTTACTTGTGTTCTATATGTCATATTATCTCGCTGCCCTCTGATCTCCATTGTTTCAGATGAGAAATTAGTTGTTCTTATTGTGCATCTTTTGTAGGTGACAAGTTGCTTATTTCCTGTTACATACAAGATTTTCTTCTTGTCTTTGGCAATTGACAGTTTGAATCTAATTTATAGATCATTTGAATCTGAGTTCATCCTACTTGGATGTTTTAGAGCTTCTTAAATGCATATTTTCATGAATTGAATAAACTGTGGGATGTTTATTGCCATTATATCTTCATATAATCTTTGTCTTTTTCTCTTCTTTTCTCCTGAGACTCCCATATGAATGTGTTGTAAGCTTGATTGAATGCCACAGGTCCCTTTTCATTTTTTCTTTTCTTTCTGCTCATCAAAATAGGCAATTTCTGTTGTACTTTCTTCACATCCATTGATTATTTTGTCATTAAAAGTTTGTTCTTGAATCCCTTTATTGAATTTTTCATTCAAGGTATTTTTTCATTAAAACTTTTCAGTTTAAAATTTTGTTTAGTTCATATATATCCTTTCTACTTATTGATATTGCCCTTTTTGTTGAGACATAATTCTCTTTGAACACATTTAAGATGGTTGATAAGTCTTTATATAGTAACACCAATGGTTGGGCTTCCTCGAGGAAAGAGTCTTTATCAATTTTTTTCTGTAAATGGACATACTTCCTACTTTACATGCCTTGTGATATTTTTATGAAAACTGTACATTTAGAACATTATAATGTGGTAACTCTGGAGTCATATTTTCCTTACCCCTAGAATTTGTTGATGTTACTTGTTGTAAGCTATATTTATCTATTTATTTAGTGAGGTTTTCACAAGTCTTTTCAAGTACAGTGTCTTTATTGTGTCTGGTCACTAAACTGTTCCATTGTCTCAGTGTTCAGCTAAGATTTCCTGAAAGGTTTCCTTAAATGCCTAAATTAAGAAAATTCTCTTCCTTGGTTAAGCACACCCCTTATTGTAAATTTTTTATTGAACTTCAGAGTACCCCAAAGATTGACTCTTAATATTTTTTGCCAGCTTAATGTTTGCTTCAGTGGTGGGACAGATCCCATAAAAGGCAAAGTTCTTATTCTACCATTTTCAAGCCTTATATATATATATATCCAATTAATTCAAAAGAATACATGCATCCATGTTTATTGCAGCACTATGTATAAATGTAAAACTTGGAATTAACACAAATACCCACGAACAGGTGACTGGATCAAGAAGATGTGGACTATATGCACAACGTAAACTATTAAGAAATCAAAAAAAGAGAAATTAATGCCATTTGCAGAAACATGGGTGGAACTTGAAGGGATTTTCCTCAGTGAAATAACTTAGAAGGAAAAAGAAAAATACTGGATGGTTTCACTTAACAGGAGGAATATAGGGGATTAAGGAAAAAAATAGTATCAAAACAAAACAAAAATAAACAGACAACTATAAGTCAGAGACATTCTGCAGTAGAGGAAGAGGAAAGGGAACAAAATGAGAGTGGGAAAAGCACAAGGGACTATAGTGATGGTGCACAGGTGAATTGGTGGTGGAATTTCTAGGGGGACTACACCTGAAAAAAGAAAGCAAACATCGTAAGGAAAATAAATAATAAATTTAAAAAACAAAACAAAACAGTACAGAGTAATTGATCCTGACACACAGGTTTTCTACCCTACCACACTTACACTTTTGTGATAAAATATTGGGCTAACATTGACTGTCATTGGAGCTGTTAAGAATGGGGCCTTTCTCAAATAACTCTGTTACCATTAATCAGTTCCTTCTAGAGACAATTAATGACCCCGCTTTAAATAAAGTCTTTAATTTTCAGTCAGGAAGTAGGGGTTTTTACAAACCCCTGTCTATTCAAGGAGAAAGACCAGAAAAATGAACTTGAAGAGGCCCTTCTGGAAAAAAGTAGGAGGTTGGATTCCTCTCATGAAGTAGAACTCTAGAGAAATTTAAAGCTGGTCATTGGAAAAATGGGAGTAGGTTATTTAGGGGAAGTTTTTAATACCACTTTGCTTCTATTTTAGGTTGAGCAGCAGCAACAAAATTTCACTAATCCGTAGGACCTTTCTAGACCATCTCCCCATTAAATCCTTTGAGTATTTCTTGTGGATTGTCAGAAGAATGTGATAAAACTGGGTGTTTGTTTGTATTTTTATTGGCTAGGATATTGATAAGAGTGTGTTTTATCACTCAAATAATACAGTTTCAGTAATCTTGATCCCAATTCAACCCAGTGATCTTTTTGTTACCTTTATATGAATACTATATATATTGCTTCTGTTTTCCCCATTAATTCAGCAAACTCTTACTGAGCTCCTACCCTATATTGTTAGGCTTCTTTATTTTGGAATCAAATAATTTATAACTCTGTACTCATTGTAAATTACGAGTGAAAAATTTCAATCAACTGTTAAATATTATCTAACAAAAAAACTCCAGTAGAGCTATACACAAAATACTATGGAGAGTTAAGGAGTTTTCTGGATCAAATAAGGTAAATGAGGGAAAGCTTCTTTCTTTTTTGTTATATAAACTGTAAGTCTTGTTCTTAACATAAAGTGGCCCATGTCTCAATTTTTTATTTTATTAATTTTTGATTTCTTATATCATTTTTCATTTTTGTGCAACAATATATATTTGATTTCTTAGGTGTAGTCCCTAAATATCCCACCACCATATCACCTGTGAGCCATTACCACAGTCCCTTGTCCCCCATTTTGATCCATCTCCTTCTCCTTCACGTGCTTTATACCTCAGATATAAAGTTTTCTACAGGTTTGTCTCTTTTTTATTTTGACCCTTTATTGGGTTTCCTTATATTTCTCCTATAAGTGATATCGTCAATATTTTTCTTTTTCCATCTGACTTTACTGAACATAATCCCTTCGACCTCCATCCGTGTTGCTGCAAATGACATGGATTTATTTTTTTAAGAAAATATTTATTCATACAAAACTGGGATATAAACCAGAGGTGCAGTGGTGGTGAGAGGCTCCCCCCAGAGACAAAGTGGGAAGCAGAACAGGCAGATCAATGAAGTACACTGCTGAGGGAAGCAGCAGGCAGGTCAGGAGAGTTCTGCTGCACCATGTGGATCATCTCTGGGGCCGGGGATTGAACTCGCACTGAAGCAGCTGTTGCCAGCTTGCAGTGCTGTGTCCTAACCTGTTGCACCACCAGGGAGGCCCTGGGTTTATCGTTTTTGATTGCTGAGTAGTATCCCATTATGTATATATACTACATCTTCTTCATCCAGTCATCTGGTTCTGGGCATTTAGATTTAGCCCATATCTTAGCAAGTGTAGATAGTGCTGCAATAAACATAGGAGTACAGGTGTCCTTTTGAATGAATGTTTCTGTGTCCTTTGGGTAGGTTCCTAGGAGTGGAATTATTGGGTCACATAGCAATGCATTTATAGTAGTGTGAGTGTCCTCAACACAGCTTTCTTTAATAGTTGGGCCTATTTATATGAAGGAAAGTATCTGGTAGGTGAATCTGAAGCTGAATTTTGAAGAAACATTAACTTAAGAAGTCACTTACTATCTCATTGTTGAGGTAAACGAATCAGAATGATGTGATAACTGGGTGGACATTTGCAGCAAGAGTACAAAGGTAGAAAGACAAAGTATGTGACCCATTCAGAGACTCCTACAGTTAAGTTTTAGTTTAAAAGTATGTATTTGCAGGGCCCTCCCTGGTAGTGCAGTGAGTTAAAGCACAGCACTAACTAAGAAGCTCAGGACACTTCAGCATGAGTTCGATCCCTGCCCTGGAGGTGACCCATATGACATGGCAGACCTTTCCTGACCTGCCTGCTGCTCCCCTCAGCAGTGTACTTCCTCTATCTGCCTATTCTGCTCCCCACTCTGTCTCTGGTGAATCTTCTCACCGACTCTGCACCTGTGGCCTGTACCCCAGTTCTGTGTGCATAAATAAATAAATTTTTAGGGGAAAAAAAAGGATGCATTTGTAGATGAGGGGAAGAACTGAGTTGTACGCACCATTTTGTCTTCACTGTATACTTAAGATCTCAGTTTACTTATTTTACCCTCTCACTACAGTTTACCCTTCCCTGGAGTCTGATGATGATGATCCTGCTTTGAAATCTCGGCCCAAGAAAAAGAAGAATTCAGATGATGCTCCATGGAGTCCTAAAGGTGATTATTCTGTCCTTAAACTCTGTGGGGGTGATTGAAAGAAAAATAAGCTAGAGTAGTTGGGAAATTTAATATGAGAAGACATGATTCAGTCACTTATTTGTTTATTGAAACATTTGTTGAATGCCTGCTGTATGCTAGATAACTGTATTAAAACTGCTAGAGGAAAGCCTTTTAAAAGTTCTTACACGAAGTGCAAAGCCATAGGTAATGGAACACATTGGTTCTGAAAGAAGATAATTTTTAACACTTTTTTTCTAAGATTTATTTATTCACACATACAGAACTGGGGTACAGACCAGAGGTGTGAGGGTTGAGAGGATTCACCAGAGACAGAGTGGGGAGCAGAACAGGCAGATGTACTGAAATATACTGCTGAGAGGCACAGCAGGTAGGTCAGGAGATGTCTGACATGCCATGTGGGTCACCTCCCTGGCTGGGAATCGAATTCATGCTGCAGTGGCTATGGATGCCTTCATAGTGCTGTGCTTTTAACCTGTTGCGTCACCAGGAAGGGCCCAATTTTCAACAGAGTTCAATAAGTAATCTATATCTAGGCTCTTCGGGCCTCAAAGTATGAGTGTTCCAGCAAGCAGTTAGGAAACTGAAATTGCCTTTTCTGACCTAGGCTCAAAAGTCATGCAGTGTCATTTCCTCCATATTCTTTCCATAGGCTAGAAATGAGCCAACTCAGATTCAACACGAAGGAACCTAGACTCCATCCATCTATAGGAAAGGTGGCAAATTGAATGAATGAATGAATGAATGGATGAATGAGTGAATGAATGAATTCAATATAATTGACTACCAAAAAAAATAAGTCAACAGCAAAAAAAAGAATTTGGGGCCTAGTTTTAAAACCACCACACAAATAAAACTGTACAGAACAATATAAAGTTTACCTAAGAATCCATGACCAAAAAAAAAAAAAAAAATCCATGACCAAAAATTATACTAACGTTTTTGCTAGATTTGCTCCAGGTCATTTTTGTAAAGAAATAAAATAAAATACCACTTTTCATGCCGTCCCTGGTGGCACAGCAGTTTAAAACCCAGTACTATGAAGCTATCTGCAGTCACTGCAGCACGAGTTTGATCCCCAGCCAGGGAGGTGACCACATGGCGTGGCAGACCTCTCCTGACCCGCCCGCTGCTCCCCTCAGCAGTGTACTTCGTAGATCTGCCTGTTCTGCTTCCCACTCTGTCTCTGGTGAAGCCTCTCACCGCCCCTGAGCCTCTGGCCTGCACCCCAGTTCTGTATGCACAAATAAATAAATCTTAAAAAAAAATGGAATAGTGAAATGCATTTCCATTTCAAAATCAACAACTTTAAAAAATAAAATACCAACTTTGCCATGTTTGATTCATCTGTCGCTCCTTTTTCCTTTCAAACTTGTCTGTGCTTTAAAGCAAATTCCAAATAATGTGTCAACTCCCTAACCTCCACTCAGTGTACTTCTAAATCTCTTAAAAAAATAGCGACATTTTCTCACATAGCCATAATTCCATTGTCATACATAATAAAATTAATAATAATTTGATAGTCCCTTCATACTTTTAAATACTGAGTCCATAAGCAAATCCCCTTAATCCAGCCACAAAAAGGGAATTTTTACAATGAATGTGTTTAAATCAGGATATAAATGGGTTCTACATATCCTTGGTTGTTACATCTTTTGAGTCTCAGTCTAGAGCATTTCTCCCTTTTGCTATTGATTATTGTAAAAACTGTGTAAGTGTCCTAAAGCACCTCCTACCTTCAAGACTTATTTGCTTCTTTGTTACACTGTCTTTTTTAAAGAAATTAGACCAGTTAACTTGTAGAATATCTGATTGTTTTCTCATGGTGTTGTAGAAATAGTTTTTTTTTATTTCTGTGATTCATAAAATCTGAAAGTGTTATGAACCCCTTGATTTTAGCTCTTTTTTTTTATTAAAAAGTTTATTTTTACATCATTTTTCGCATTTTTTTTTTCATCTCAATTGTAATCCCCATGGGTTTCCCATCACCAAATCACCCCTGTGCCACCACCATAGTCCCGTGAATTTTAGCTCTTTTTTTAATTGTAAAACTACTTCCCAGGTGATACTACAGATTTCCTGTTGCATTGTTAGTAACAGTAAGGTTAACAATTAAGTGGAAGGGGCACTCCTTGATGGCACAAGGAGTTAAGTTTCAACACTGTGAAACAATCCACAGCCACTGCAACAGGAGTTCCATCCCAAGTCAGGGAGCAGATAGTGCAGCAGGCCTCTCCTGACCCCTCAGCAGTGTATTTCAGTCAGTCCACCAGTTCTGCTCCCCACTCTGTCTCTGTTGAATCCTCTCACCCTCTCCATTTCTCTGGCTTATACCCCAGCTCTTATATACATGAATAAATAAATCGTTTTTAAAGATTTATTTATGCATACAGAACTGGGGTACAGGCCACAGGTGTAGGGGTGGAGAGAGGATTCAACAGAGACAGAGTGGGGAGCAGAACAGTCAGATGGATGAAGTACACTGCTGAGGGGAGCAGCAGGCAAGTCAGGAGAGGTCTGTCACACCATGTAGATCACCTCCGGGGCTGGGATTGAACTCATGCTGAAGTGGCTTTAGCTTCTTAGTGCTGTGCTTTAAACCCGCTGCACCACCAGGGAGGACCCTAAATCTTCTTTTTTTTTTTTTTTAAATAAGAGGTAACTCCTGATCCCACCATTAAAATGGTTACTTTTCCCCTTGCAACTAGCAAGTAATCTGTAAGTTAATGCTTTGGTATTATATGACTATTCAGTTCTCTAGAATTGTTTCATTATGGCTTACAAACTTGTTATTTTCTAATTGTCTTATTCCTTCTACATGTATTAGCTGTCATTCCTCTGTAAAGAAGAACTTTTCCCTCATCATCTCAGGCAGTTAGGTTATCTGGAAATACACTTTCTTTGGAAACTTCTTTTTTTTTATTCAGGATTGTTAAAGAACTATAAAAGGGTTATGAAAGAAGAAAGTCTTTAGGAGCTTGTAGCTTGGTTAGTAGACAAAATAATGGACATGAATATTAAGAAGTAAGACAAGATGTTGTGTGTTATGTATTAACAGACTTGTACATATCATGAGTTCAGGGAAAGGAGAGGTTAACAAGAACCAGAAACATGTGCATGGAAGGTTCATTTCAGCTTGCCTATAAAGGATAGGCAGATTTTAAATAGATGGACAAAAGAGAAGAAAATAGTCCCGCAGTGTGACTGATGAGAATGAAGACACAGGGAGAGAGGATACTCTGGAGATGTAATAAGAAAACCTTTTGACTGGAGACATTGAGAATATGGGTATGGAAATAATGTGAGAGGGGTTGATAGGCCAGGAGCAGAGCAAGGATAGTTTAAAATGTCGTTTCAGGGAGGTTAACTTTTTTTTTTTTTTTTAAGATGTATTTACTTATGCTTAACAGAACTGGGGTGCAGGTCAGAGGTTTGGTGGGTGAGAGGATTCACCAGAGACAGAGTGGGGAGCAGAGCAGGCAGATTGACAAAGTACATTGACAAAGTACACTGCTGAGGGGAGCAGCTGCGGGTCAGGAAGCTCCCCTGCCGGGATTGAACTGGCACTGCAGTGGAGAGCTTCATAGTGTGGTGCTTTAATCCATTGCACCACCAGGGAGAGCCCAAACTTTTGTCCTTTAATAATTGAATGCTTTGTATGATTTGAGAATTTGTGAAATAGCTTTTTTTAAAAAAAGATTTATTTAATGCATACAGAACTGGGGTTACAGGCCGGAGATGCCGGAGGGTGAGAGGCTTCACCAGAGACAGAGTGGGGAACAGAACAGGCAGACTGATGAAGTACACTGCTGAGGGGAGCAGTGGGCGGGTCAGGAGAGGTCTGCCACGCCATGTGGTCACCTCCGGGGCAGTTGGGGTTTGAACTCATGCTGAAGTGGCTTTGGCTTCTTAATGCTGTGCTTTAACCCACTGCGCCACCAGGGAGGGCCGTGAAATAGCTTTTTAATGATTTGAAGCAATAATCTGACTTTGCAAAAAGCTAGAAGCAGAAAGACCAATGAGACCAAATTTGAGATGCTCAGACGTAGTGTGGTTGCCATTCATATAAATATCTTTATCCTGTTTCCTCTGCAGCTCGTGTGACCCCAACTCTACCCAAACAGGACCGTCCTGTGCGTGAGGGGACCCGAGTAGCTTCCATTGAGACAGGCTTGGCTGCAGCAGCTGCAAAGCTAGCTCAACAGGTAGGTGCTAACATCCAGGCAATGACTGTGCTGCTGGCCCCAGTTTAAAACTCAGATATTTATACTGACAGGATCCTACTGTTGTCTTGTTGGGGAGTGGGTATCCTTTCATCACAGCAGTATCTCACCTCCTCCTGTGTGCTACACATCCCAATTCAATGACAAGATACTTCTATAGGTCACACAGTTGATAAGACAATAGACTCCAGGGGACTAGAATGAAAAGTCCTTAGTTACATCATTTGCCTTTCTGGGTGTGTAAAAACCTCTTAGTTGGGAAGGATCGGGTCTGTCCTTCGGTGAAAGCACTGAGCTTCATATGAAGCCCTGAGGAGGTGACTCAGCTGAGTGCACTCAAGTTCTCAGCTACCCACCAGTATCAGATTTTGTTTTGTGAGGAGGCTAATCTTGTCCTTTATACCAAATAGTTTTGCCTTGATCTTTATCCCCTGCTTCCCAAGAAAACTTCTCGCATTAATTTTGGTCCCAAAGGGTGTCTTCACTAGAATTAAGTTCACCTCCAAGCACGTTACAAAGTTGCAAAGTACTATAGTGATCGTAATGTGCTCAGCAACCTTGGGAACAGTTGAAAGTGAATCTCTGGTTCTAGCCTTTGAATATCCCTTTAGGTTCTCATGACAGTTCTGTATTCCTAAGCATTTGTTGAATAAATGCTTTATTTAGGTACTTCCATGTAGCGTTTCATGTAATCTGCCCAATAGCCCTGTTCAATAGGTTATATTCTCATCATTTTACAGGTGGAGAAAATGAGGCTCTCTTTAAATGACTAGTCCAGGATAATACAGCCAGTAAATGAAGGAGACAAGATTCAAACTCATCCTCTAACTTCGTATTTTATGTTACTTGCTAGTTAAGTAAACTGAAATAGTTTAATGTTTATATAATTCAGTAATTGCGTACTATTCAAATAAAATGTCATAGAATTATGTTTTTAATTTGATGTATGTTGGAGTTCTGGAATTGTTTAGCATGTCTTAGAGGCTATTATTGGGAGTCAGCGGAGACTAAGCAGGCCAAACAACCCTTTTTTGATCAGGTCTTATTTCTATCATGTTTATCCTAGTGCCATGTAAGATATAACTTAAAAGGTGGGTGGGGGCTCTGCTTTAATAAACAGATAAATTAATTAAAGGTATGAAAAATACCCTTAGTACACTTCTGTTTGGGTTGACAGGGATGACCTCAAAGAAGTTTTTTGAGGTTGGGGAAGGGTTTTGAGGGCTAAGCTCTTAAGGGGTACAGGGAGGCATTCCAGAAGTAAGGGACTCCTTGGTGTACAGTGCACAGGCATTCTTGATTTGGCCTTTGTTCACCGCTCCTCCCTGACCTCCTCCCTGCCCCTCACATATGCCCTTTGCACCAACACCATGCTACCATACTACAACACTTGGAGTTCGCTCAGTGTGTCAGATTGCCTGACGCCTCTGTGCCCTTGCACAAGCTGCTCCCTCCGGCCCTTTGGAATTATTCCCTCTCAGATGCCTCATCTAACACTCCTTCACACCAGTTGATTTCATGGTCTTGTGCTTCCATAGCATCCTCTCCTGGCACTTATAAGTGTACTTTTCTGTGTGCCTTATTAAGTGCCCCAAGGGTAAAGCTATGTCTAATTTAACTTGGTGTCCCCACTGTGCTAGCATGTGTTTAGTCAGTGTTGGGTGTGTGAATGAATGAATGAATAAGTGAATGAGCAGATCTTTAGATTGGAGGCTTCATTTTGGGGGTTGGGGTGAGGAATACAGAGATTTAAAAATGGATTCTGGAGCCAACCTGCCTGAATTTGAATGCTTGCTCTACTACTTGAGCAAGTGAATTTATCTGTGACTCAGTTTCCTTGTAGACTTTGTCTAAGGATTAGATGAAGTAATATATGCAAAAGCTTTGAGAACAGTACTTGCCAGAATAAGTACTACAGACATGTTAGCATTTCTTTATCATCATTATGGGTTGACTAGCCAGACTTAGGAAAACCATGAATGTCAGGGAGTTTGAACTTGGGTGGAGACCTGCTAACTGCTTCTTAAGCAAGGGAATTAACAAGGTGGAGCTGGCACTGTCAGAAGACAGCCTAGCCTTCTGGGGGAAAATCTGGGTGAATTATATGAAAAAGAGATTGGCAACAACACTAGAAAAAAAATGACTTTGCAATCTTGATTTGAAGAGAGAATTTCTAGATTCAAATAAGAGAAATCTGGAATTGGGAGCTTAAGTGCAGTTCCTGCTGTGGGAGGATAGTTTTATGGCTGAGAAAGAAAAAAGATTCTGAAGTCAGATGGCTTGGATCTGAATTCCAGGTTAGCCACTTACTGGTCCTAACTTTGGAAAAATTATTTAACCCCTCTTTGCTAGTTTCTTCTCCTAAAAATGGTATTATAATTCTTCTCATACTTTTGAGTATTACATGACTTAGATAATAGAACAATGCCTGGCATGTATTATTAATATTATTATTCTTGTCTCCAGAAATTCCTTTGGTAGCGACAGCCTGTCAGATCTTCCGAAGGCAGGAGTAGGCCCGTGTTGCCATGAGAAAGCAAAGAAATGTAATCACAAAGTTGGTCTATGTGACTTTGTAGCATTTCAGAAGGTGAAGTCAGTCGTTCACACGTTCTCAGCACCATCTTTCCAGGTTCTCAGGGCTCCAGATGCCCACTATACAGGTACCCACTACACAGTGGATAATAGATCTATAGAGCAATGGAAGGATAAAATCCAGTATGCTGGGAGAAGTGACTCAACGCCTTATTTATCCTTTCCATCCAAAATTGAGGGCTTAAGACCTCATGACCTGAAGATTTATCAAGTCGTCTATTAAAAGAAAAGCATCAGCAAGAGAAAGAGAAACTATTATAATGGATAAAGAGAAAATAATTTACTGCTTGTTGAGTACTCATTATGTGCTATGGGTTTTAACATCATTATTTAATCTTTCCACCAACCTTGCAAACATACTACTTTGGTCATTTTACAGGTGAAGCAATTGAGATTTAGAAAGGTTAGTAACTGAGACTGCTAACCTCAGTGACTGAGGCTATCCAACTTAGGGAGCACAAACCTGAATTTGAACCCAGGTTTATCTCATTCTCAGCTATTATTTAGATAGCTTAGATTGATAGATGGGACTCAGATGTCCCATTTTGAGAAGTGTGCAGACTTGGTGTTCATGTAGACCTGGTTGAATTCTGAACTCAGCAAGTCTTTAGCTATGAGGCTTTGAGCTCATTACTTTCTTATCCATGTACCCCAATTTTTTTTCCATCTATACAATGTGGGACCTTCCTTCTCGGGGATGTTCTGAATATTAAATTAGATGAAATATATAAAGTGCCTTAGCTGCTGGCATATATTTTGTTATTATCATTACAAGTGTCCATGGTCCTCCTTGTAAGTGGCAATGGTAGAACCAAAACCCAACTCTCTGAACTCATTTACCCTTTTCTTGCCACTTGTGCTAATTCGTGGGGTGACTTAGGATGGACCAAAGAGATTACCTCAGGTATTGGAAAGCCTGTGTGTTGTGTGTATAAATGTTCAGGTTAGACTTGGGGTGGTGGTGGTTTGTAGAACCACATTGGCCATTGTCCAGTTTCTTTTCTGGAAAATTTCTCTTCTCCACTCCTAAATTCTTCCCTCCTACTTGGCTGTGTTTCAGGAGTTGCAGAAAGCCCAAAAGAAAAAATATACTAAGAAGAAGCCTTCATTGAAGGAGGTAGAACAACCTCGCCCTCAGGAGTCCAATCTCAGCATAGCAGCACCAGCCCCAACTCTGGCTGCTATACCCCAGCTTCTCACCTCCTCCTTGCCCCTGCCTCCTCCTGAGCCTAAACAAGAAGCCGTTTCTGGAAGTCTTGCTGACCATGAATATACTGCTCGCCCCAATGCCTTTGGCATGGCCCAGGCAAACCGCAGCACCACACCCATGGCCCCTGGTGTCTTCTTAACCCAGCGTCGCCCTTCAGTTGGATCCCAGAGCAATCAAGCAGGACAAGGTATGACTGCCATGTGATTATAGAACTGAATAGCATCTTAGGGTCTACTGGCTCCAAACCCTAAGCCCTCTGGTAGATGAGAATACCTGGAAGGGACACTGATAGCCAACCTAAGGTACTTGGACTTGATCTCACAGGTCATGAAGAGCCACTTGACTGTGTTCACAGTCAAGCTCAGATATGGGTTTAGTTGATCCTTCAGATAGCCAGATTGGAAGGTGGGCTGCAGTTGGGAAGGCCAGGGGTAGCACATACAGGTTCAAGTTGCAGTGAAAAGAGGTTAGGGCTCTGGAAGGGGCTGGAGAGGGAAGGAATAAATTGGCCAAATGTAGATGAGGTCACATGGGACCTGAGAGGTGGTTTGATGTGGGGAGAGAAGAGTCAGGGCAGAGGGACTCAGACCCTCCTTTAAATCCCAGTCTTTGGAGTATGTAACTTAACAGTAGTAATGTTGTGACGTTGGATGAAGAGGATGGGGATTTCCAATAAAACAAAACCTAGGGGTGGCATCTTCAGGGACACTGAACTATAATCACTGACCCCACACTTGTCCAGTTCTGGCGGGCAGGCTAAGAGGATGTGGGGAGGCCAATCAACTCCCTGAATAATTTGGAAAACAAAATGATGGGGCCAAAGACTCAGTGGATGGAGGTAATCAGACAGACTGTAACTGGAAGAGCCCAGGCATGTGGTGTTTCATGGAGTGGCTACGAAGGGCTTCTTGCTCAAGATGGGCCTGGAACCCAGCATAAGGGTGGGGTGGGGAGATTCTAGGGAGAGGTACGGGAGAGGGTGGGAGGCTGAGCACCATTTATGCTGGAGTTGCTGTGGGAGCCTTTGCCGTTGCCTTTGCTGATTTCTCCCTTCCCCCACAGGAAAGCGTCCCAAAAAGGGCCTGGCCACAGCAAAGCAGAGACTCGGCCGTATCCTAAAAATCCACAGAAATGGCAAACTCCTTCTGTGAACCTCCTTACGTGCTGCCCCTGAACCCTTCACCCCCACTGCCTTCTCATTGTCAATTCTCGGGGCACTCCTGGATCCTATCTGCCCCGGACAAGGTGCTGAGGCGCACTGTCCTGCTTTCTTGGAACTGACCAAAGGCATGGACTCCCTGCAGACCCTTCACCAACTCCCCCAGTTCCCTTCCTTACTCCCACTAGAGCAGCCTGCCTTCCTTCTCCAGACCTCTGAGTAGCAGGTGAATGGGAGAACTTCCTAGCAGAGTAGAACCCTTTTTGCTGCTGTCCCAGCCCATGTCCTTTTCACTGGCCTTGTCTGCCCTTTACTCTCATCCCACCTAGAGCTCGAAAGCAGGACAAGAATACTCATGAGAGCCTGGGTCCCTGACTATTTCCCTAGTTATGAAGTGGGCCCATCGCTCAACATTTTCCACGACTCCAGCCCGGTCTTTAGAGCCCTGCCCACCTCTGCCCATTTTTCCTTCTCCTCCCTCCCCTCAGTGAATGTGACCTGCCTTCAGACTTTCCTTGGGAAAAGGGTCTGACCTCCGACCCCTCTTGCCAAATGCTTCCTGAAAATAAAGAGGAGGGCCCAGAGTCCCCTTATTGCCCCACTGTTGGCCATTCCCAGCAGCCTAGAAAGGCCACGGCTTGACTTCACTCATCTTTGGGAAGAAGGGGGAGTCCTTCCACTTCTGAAGGTGAGGAGAGGACAGACATGCAACCTTCAATATGACTTTGTAGCCCACTGGAGGAAGCTACTTTGGGGTGGCTACAGATGATGCCTAACTCCCAGGGTGAGCTCCCAAGATTAACCTGGATCTTGTGGTCCTGTTGAATATTACCCACATGGCTGTGGCTGGGCTCCAGCAGGTGAAAAATTATCTCCCAAAGCCGGGAAGCACCTGTCATTGGAGCAGATAACCATGGTCCTGTGGCCTGCTCCCTTCACCTGTACCACAGAAAATAGTTTGGACTTTCTGAAGACGCGGTGCCAGGACATCTCACCCCTGGCTTCTTCATGAGGAGCCTCCCCACTTCTTTCTGCGCCTGAAGAAGACCTCAGAATTCGCATAGTCATCCTGGGCCTTCATACTTCTAGATGTCAGGTCAACACTCCAGTTACAGTGCAGATGGACCACCCTGGAGCCTGAACCTAGGAGAGGAGACACCCATCTGTGAAGGAGCAAATCGCCTCCCCTCTTCCCTTTGTGGATGTCTCTGTTGTCCAAACAGTGCCCACCCCCCTCTCTACCTCCCCCAGCTCCCTCCACTTCTGCTGGTCTTGCCTCCCTGGCATCCTAGTGGATGGAGAATTCCTTCCCAATTCCTTTTTGGCACTGTCCAAGTAGAACAGGTCCTTACTCTTTTCCCCACTCCAACCTTATCCCAGTTTGCAGTGCTTCTGGGAACTTAACAGCTACCATGCAGGCCACAGAAGATATGTAAGCTTCCCTTGTCATCTTGGTGTCTATAGTTTATCTTTCTTTTCTCCACAGCCCTACATTTACTATCCTTCTTTGGAATCAGAGGTCCCTTAACCCCATTTGCTTTTTCTATTTTGGGGACCCCAGGGGCCAAGCAGTCCTCCATCTAGTCACACCAAAGGCAACAAGCCTGACTACCTCCCTCCTAATACATGAGGTCCCCACTCCCCTCCCCTCTGTTTCCACTCAGCTTTGCTTTTCTTGGGGATTTCAAGGCAGCAGGGGGGTACTGAGCGGGGAGGAGGGGCAACCTGCGTTCCTGTGTAGGCAACTGCCTAACTGGGTTCTGCCTGCTGTCACCAAGGCCATGACCCAGCCCTCCTGCCCACTAACCACCACCTCTCATTGATCTTTCAAAGGCAGCTAATTGCTAGCAGATTCCCCTGGTTCCAGCCTCTTTCCTCTGTGTCTTTGTTAGCAGTTTCTGTGGAGCTGAAACCCAACCTCCATTTCACTGGGTTTCATTTAGTATAGTCAGGCTCTCAGAGCCTCCTGTTTGTTGTTTTGTATTTCAAATGAAAAGCAAGTTTACCCTCAGAGTTATGCTTTTCCAAAGAGGCTAGTGCGCTTTCCCCCCCTTGTTTCAGGTTCTAAGTGAGTTGGGGAGGGGTAGGGAGTGGTAGTAACCAAGGTTCAAAACATGGTGAGTTACCTCTAGTCTCTAATCCTCAGCACTGAGTTGGGGGTTGGGTAGGGGGCAGGGAGAGAGGATTTGTATTCACCCTTAATATATTTTTACAAAAAAGCAAACAATTTAAAAGCAAGCCCACCGCTTCTGTACATGTCTAAATATATTTTTAGAAGTGGGTAGGATTGTGAATTTCTGATGCAGGGCCTTTTTATAAACAGGTTAGAATAGCATCATACAGACTTCTCTGTTGGTTTTTTCCCGTTTTTTTTTTTCTTATGTTGTGTTACTAATGTAATTTATATTTTTTTTAGATCCTCCCTTTCCTATAGAGATAAAAGTGATTTATCTTGGCAATTGCTTTGTTTCGCATTCTTTTTTTGTGGGGAGGGAGTTGGGGGTATCCACAGTGCCTTTTCTTTACACTTTGTCTCTCCCTCCAATCAACTCAGCACTTCCCTGCCAAAAGAGAGACATAATTCACATACCAGAAACAGATAACAAGGGTACAACAGCTTACGTGGGCCTGACCATACTTGTGGGGAATACTTCATAGCTTTCATGAACTGTTTTTAGACATTACACCTGTTGTCCTCTCTGTGAGTGTGGACTTTGGGGTTTTTATTTTTCTCTTCCTCTCTCCAACATGTTTCGCCAGGCACTTGTACAATCTGAACTTAATTGCTGTGCTTAGGACCAGTGCAAGAGATAGAACAGAACCAGCACATCATGCTCTTTTCCTTGTGCCAGACACTGCTCTTAGTGTTCTATGTATATTGATTTGTCTCAACCTCCCTAATATCCTCAGCCTACAGATGAGGAAACAGAGGCCAAGAAACCTTCCAACATCACACAAAAGCCGTGGGGATAATATGGTTCCAGCATCTGTGTTCTTACCATTTTGTTCTACCACCTCTCACCAAGAGCAGCTACCATTTATGAAGTGCCTTTCCCATGCCCAGCTCTGGACTATGGGATTTCGTTAGGATATGTTATTTAATTCTCACTAACAACCCTGTGTGCTAGTGATTAGCCCCATTTTTTAGTGAAGATTGAGGCTGACTAGTGTTCTCTGAGAGCAGGATCTGGCATGAATTTTAAACTCAGGTTCTTTTCTCTCACCACTTTAGAAAACCATTCGCAGTTGAATGGCCTAGTTGATGCTTACTGAGCACCTGTCACGTTCACTATGTATATTTAGAGCTCTGTCCTGAGGAGAGATTCCTGGGTGTAGGAAGTCTCAGTTCCAGATTTACCACCACCTTCTCTGTGTGGCCTAGAGCAGGTTATATGCTATCTGAAGGTCACTTTGAAAAAGGAGTTTGAACCCAATTGATATTTCTTCATCTTGGAGATTCTGCTTCTGTGAATCTGGGGTGAGGCTGTGGGGTTGCCACCTACTGGCTAATGACCTCCAGCTCTCAATCTGAATCTTGGTATCAGGCAGCATTTGGATAGAAAAGGTTTTATGTAGAGCAAGGGGAAATGTATCTCTTGGAGAAAGGCAACAGGAAAGAAAGGAGGGATTTTAGAGCCCTTGCAGGAATAGTAGTTTGGGTCCCCAGTGAAGAACAAAGCACTCTCACCAGCCCCAGATTAGAGGATAAGCTAGAGTCTGGGTCACCTTACTCATTCAAGGAGGTGCCAGGAGATTAGAAGGTCCTGTATGAAAACATGAAGGAGATAAGTGCACTCAGTTTTGGTCTTCCCTCTTTCCAGTGTGGAATGGAAAAGAATATAGGACTTACCACCAAGAGTCTGCTTTCTCAATGACTAACAAAGTAATTTGGGGGAGGTTCCTTGTCTGGGTCTCAGTTTCTGCATTTACCAGATGGAATTAGCTCAACAATGAAGACCTCTAGAAGTGTGACCATCTCTAAACTTTCTGGACAGTGTTGATTCCCAAACAGAATCCTCTATCCGTGACCTGTCCTAAGTACAGATCCCTATTTTCGTTTGCTCATGCTGAATTCCTTGGCCAAATACACAGCCCCTCCCTTTCTGTCAGGACCCTAGTCACACCAACTTGACTGCAGTGTGTTGGGAATGAAAAAGAGCACCATAACTAGGGTGTTAGGGGTGCACATAGTCACCTGAGCAGGGAATCTGTCCCAGGGAAGCAAGGATTTCAGGTAAGGCCTCCTGGGTGATGCTAGAACTGAAGGATGGAAATTGATTGGGGAGAGAACAGTGGGAAGAGTATTCCAAGCCAAGGCAGTAGCATGAATTAAAAAAAAAAGTGGGAGGGGAGTAGATATAGAAAAGGACAAGCAATTTACTATGACTACAGCTGTAACTTTCATCTGGGAAAATAAGCAGAATCTCCAAGAGGAAATGTGTGGTTTGAGAAAGCGCTTACTCAAAATTGATAAGTTTTTAGGCATAATATTTAAGCACCTCAGATAATGGAAGATTATTTCTATTTTTGGTGTTTGTCAAAAGACTTAGTTGTGCCCCATGAGAAACCATTAAAGGCATCTAAGTAGAAAATGGCATGGGATCTTTTTTAAAAAGTTCTCTTTGCCAGTCGGGGTATAAATTGGGATGGAGAGAGATGAAACCAGGAAGATAAGTGAGGACATTACTGTAGTGGGGTGGGGAGGGTTCTCTTTCATCTCCTAATGCCCCCTTTGAATACCACTTCCCTAAGGAATCCTTCACTCAACTGCAGTCAATTCTAATCTGTTTTCTGGACTATGTTCTGCAAAGAGTGGAAATTGCAGGCCATTTCCAGAAGGCAGAGTCACAGACTTGGCTGCTCATACAAGCCAAGAGACAGAAATCACATTCCTCTGTCCCCACCTTGTTAGCTTTTTAACTTTAAAAATAGCTTACTTTTCCAAATTCTCTTCTTACCCATAGACCCACAACATAATTCCAGCACTCACTAACAAATATGTAAGAAAGATGTCATACCATTTTGTGTTTTCCTTGTTAGAGGAGTCCAGCAACCTTCTTCATTCCATTCCACCATAAACAACCTTTCGACAGTATCTCCCCAAATTTCTATTTTCATCACCCCCTCCTGCTTAACAGTCCATGACTGACTTCCCACTATTTGTTACACCTTCTGAATTTCAAGGTTTTTCAGAAACTAAAGGCAATGAGCTTGAAAGAAGTGGTAGAAGGCGGATGTGCCTGGGAGTTGAAAAGACCAGTCATTTAATTCCAGCCTAGTCTGATTAATTCCAGCCTAATTCTGATACCTATGTGATCTTGAACTAGCTACTTCATATTTCCTGACTCAGTTTTCCCACCTGTAAAATGAAAATATAATCCCTACCTCATAATATTAGCAAAAATTATAGTAACTGGTATTTTTAAAGAACTTTATTTAGCACCTGGCACTCAGGTGATCTATGAATGTAGTTTAATTTTTCCAGTTAAATTTGCCCAACTACATATTTTGAAAGAACTGCAGAGGAAGCAAGCCTTTAGAAGAACCACACAGAGAGTATGAGTTTAAAAGAATTGGAGAAAATATTTCAAATTGGGGTAGAGAACTAAGCTTAATGTGAAAAAGGTGTTTGAAAGACATAGATGGCTGAGGCAATAAGCATGGTAAGCCTTTAATCTGTAAAGAAGAAACAGATAAATCTAGGACACAAAGTTGCTGAGAGGTGCCAAATACCATCTATGCAATTTCAGTAGTATGTGTCACTTCTATACTAGCTTACCAAGCTTCTCATGTCAGGCCCTGTACATGCCATTGAAGGGCTTGGTCCTCAAGGAGCATGTGATTTAGTACACAGACATGGAAACCCAGGTACTGGGATAAAAACTAAGTATGGGGGTGCTGTGGGAGCATGAAAGTCTGAGGCACAGAAAGACTTCTAGGAAGAAGCAATACCTGAATTGAATATTGAAGGCCACTTACTATTCAAGTTGAAGGCAGAAGGATGAGTCAGAACAAAGCAGTCCAAGCAAAGGGAAAAGTGGCCCGGAGTATGGATGGAACTACAGACCCTTGAGTTGTGCTGATAAACAGCTTGGAGTAAGATGGCAAGTGTTCAGGGAAAGAAGCAGAAGAGGTTAACAGGGACCTGACTGTGGAGATATATTTATAACTAAGAGTGTTTTCTCCTGTGATCCTTGGGGTGGGGAGAAACTGAAGCAGATTATTGTTGAGACCAGTGTGAAAGTGGTTGTAAGATTCCATTAAGGTAATGAGGTCTAAACAAGACATTGGCTCTAAGATACCAGATATATTAACCTACACAGTTTATTTTTCCCCTGACATTTACTGTAAGCATTTTCAGATATTCAGAAAGTCAAAGTAACTGCACCACAAACACCTATATATCAGCCAATCTATAATAGATTCTACCATTAGTATTTTATACTACATGTCATACATTCATCACTAGCCATCCAGCAATTTGTCTTATTTCTTATGCATTTCACATCTTCTGAAATTTCTGTGTATATGTCATTAGAGTTCAATGTATGTGGTTCTTTTATAAGCTAAAATAGCCATAGAGTGGAATGCACATATCTTAAGAGTATATCAATGTGACCCACACTCCTATCAAGGTACAAAATATTATCAACCCAGAAAGTTTCTTCATGTCCCTTCCCAGTCCTTTTTCCCTTCCAGAATAGGCCTTGTGTTTGAAAGGGGAGGATTTGGAATGTGAAAATAGGTGGTTTTGGGGGTAAGGTGACTCCCTTTTCTAGCAAATTCATGAAATCAGGTGACCAGAGGGATACACAGCTTTAATAAACAAATTTGGATGGATGCCCTTCAGCCTCTCTCTTACCCATTCTGAGCTTCATGTTCATGGATCAACTCAGTGAAACTGAAGTGAAGAGTGGATGAGTTAAAGGACTTGGAAGCAGCTAGTAGTTTTGGAGGGGAAGGACACAAACACTGACAGTCACAATTCAGTGTAATGATTATTGAAAAATGCATTATACTAGAGTCAATGCTATAACAAGAGAAAGAATGGGAAATGAAGTAAAACAACACAAAAGTTCCACAGAAGGTTGGATATGTTTGCAAGACAAGGGGTGGCTATGAAAAAATGGAGTGGGGATCAGAAGCGATAAGGCTAGAGACTCAGCCTCTTGGGAATAGAGGACCTCAGAGGAATATAGAAGAACATATAGTAGTCAAGAAAATTTCCCTGAACGTATGAGGAGTTAAATCTTGAAGGACATTGACCTTGGTAATAGTATGGTAGATATCAGGTTGTTTTCAGTTGCAAATAACAGAATAAAAACAAGTGTAGGACTTCGGCTCATAGAATTGAAAAGTCTAGAAGTTTGTGGATTTTTGGCAGAGTTTAAGCAGAGCTTTGATTCTCATTAT